TTTCCCATTGGAATAATTTAATCATTAAAAAGTTTTACTAAACTATTTTTTCTTCTTCAAGATTTATACTTCAATTTATACTTTATAATTTATAACATATTCAGGAAACACACTAATAGGAAAACTGTAAGACTTTTTAAGGAAAACTTAAAAAACTTTACAGAAAGACGTAAAAGAAAACAATGTAACTTCTTCCTCTAAAGGATCACAGAGAAATAGAAATGTGTTAGTTATTCCCAAATTAATCTACAAAATCTATCCTATTCCAATTGTGTTTTTTAAGGAACAGATATTACCAAAATAATTCTGTGATATATCTGGAGAAATCAGAAATACTGATGTTAATTTCTGAAGAGAGGGTATATTATCCTATAATATACTAAGTTATAGTATGCACTGAAGCAGGAATGGAATAGAATGGAAGTTAGTCCAGTTAGAGATGGAGTACGTGCCATGTGAGCAGCACACACGAGGATAGACCAAGCCATGCAAGCAGAATGCAGACATGTCTAATGAGGGTGTCTGTCTGTCTGTATATCTATAGAAAAACTAGAATAGTAAGTGGGTTATTAAAATAACAATGTTTGGGGCTGGGACTGTAGCTCAGTGGCAGAGTGCTTGCCTAGCATGCATGAGGCACTGGGTTCAATCCTCAGCACCACATAAAAATAAGCAATAAAATAAAGGCATTCTGTCCATCTACAACTATAAAAAGTTAAAAACAATAACAACAACAATAATGTTGCCCTTATTTCCCACATCAAAAAACTTCGTAATAGAACAAAGATTTAAACATCAAAATAAAAGGAACCAAAACATGAAAATATTAGCATATTGCTTGTTTGTTTAAATCTGGGTGTGCTAGGTTTTTCTGAGCATGGTACCAAAGTCAGACTGCATCATGACAATCTTAACAAGAGTTTTTACTATACATATAAAAAATATTTTTAAAACACATAAGCAAAAACATTTATAGAAACAGAAAGTAGAATCGTAGACAGAGGCTGATGGGCAGAATAAGTGGGAAGTTATTATTTAATGGATAGGAAATTTCAGTTTTAGATGATGAATATGTTCTGAATATCAGTGGTGGTGGTGGGTTATACAATAATGTGAACGTGCTTAATGCCACTAAAGTGCACATTTAAAAATGTGGTGAATAATTTGGCATTAGGTATATATATTTTCTTAATATTTTTTATTAGTCATTGATGGATATTTATTTATTTATATGTGGTACTGAGAATCAAACCCAGTGCCTCATACATGTTAGGCAAGCACTCTACCATGGAGCCACAATCCCAGCCCGATATTTAAAAACAAATTTTAAATGGGAGGAAATGGCATAAATAGAAATCACTATAAATAAATATATTAAAAATGATCAGGAGTGATGGGAGGGGAGGGGAGAGGAAGGGGGGAAAGGAAGGACAGCAGAATAAAATAGTCATTATTATTGCTGTATGTATATACGTGACTGCATGACCAATGTGATTCTGCAACCTGTACACTCAGAAAAATAAGAAATTATACCCTATCTGATTCAAATGTATGATATGTCAAGATCATTGTACTATCATGTGTAACTAATTAAAACAAATTAAAAAAAATTTTTTTT